TATACCTGTATACTTCAACATGGCCCAACTCAATCCGGGCGTTGTATAGTAGTGGGCCGGATCCAAACGATACGTCGTTCGACATTTGGCCCTGAAGTTTTCAAAAACTTCGGCCAACAAGAGAACTTCCGTTTTGAGATACAAATCTGAATAATTGCCCAGATCGGTGATATCGAACGTTCTCCAAACATTTTCCGCGTGACTGTACACCTCGTTACTGATATCTAAATCGCACAGACTGCTGTAAAAATCTTCTTTTCGTGGAAGAGTCGGCTCCGCGAGTTTTGTAAACGACGATACATAGTCATACGAAAATACACTTTTTCTTTTCAGTATGGCGATCCTCGGCAATGTGTATCCGTCAACTTGCTGAAAATTTCGCTCTAGAATATCGTGTTTTTCTAAATACGAGAATAGTTTGTCGAGAGAAGACACCATAAATCGAAACGAATTCATGAAACGTAGATTTATATCGGTACCTTCCACGTGCTTGGTAAAAGATATGTATTTTCCTTGGTTTGAGGAATGAGGCTGACTCGACCGGCAAATTCGTTCGCGATTTCTCGGATAAATAGATGCGCATCGTATCCACTGAGATTATGAAAAAACACGGGTATGGTCCTCAATTCTTGATAAACAATGTTACACATGTTGTGAGCAGCTCCACGATACTTTCCAATAAAGTAACAATGATCGCGAACTTTTGTGTCTTTTTTTTCTTGTCAAAAGGTTTATTACATATATGACATGTTGTATCATGAAAAAAACTAAATGTCTCATGGAAGGTGAAATTTTCCATAGGCTGTGGGCTTTTGTACAACTTGTGCAGATACTTGGCCAAATCATGAAGATTGTGAACAAACCACTTGGCTGGACCAACGTCATCAGCGATATTCTGTCTGTAGCTTTGACAACACGAAAGAGAGTCATCATAACTACACTTGACGAAAAAACCAATACTGTACGGTTTGTGACATTGATAGATCCGTTCATTGTTAGACACCGCTTCCAAGAGACTCTCAAAATCAGCATACACAACAAACGGTACTACGCACTAATTTTTAAAGTTTTCGAATTGTAAAAAATTTATGTTTCTCACTGGGAAGCACAATTTTACACATATTCACATTTTTACAGTCGATCTCGTGCGTTTTCAATCTCTGTTCAGTTCGAAAATAGGGTATGCAACGTTCGCATATATACGACTTACTTCTGCGAAATAACAATTGATGATACATCAATCGAGATAAGTCTTTCATCCAAACATAGTGCATTTTGTAAGGTATTCTGGGACGTTCCATTTACTCTTCGTTTACATCGGCATTAACATCGATATAATAATTTTCCACTAGAAGAAGATTCACGTGCTTTTCTTTTTTCTCATTGGTTGAATGTTGCGGAAAAACCTCGTAGGATCAATTATTCAAATTTAAAAAGACTTTAAAAGAGGTAGGAATAAAGAAAAACACAAGGTTGAATTTACTCGTAATTTGAAATTGTTTTTTTTTTTTGAAACGTTTGTTTTTTAGTACTTACCTTTGCGGCTACGATATATTTGCACATACGTTTAAATAGCACTTAAAAGTGCTGATTTATAAAAATTATATAAGTTTTTTATTGAGCAAATAGTTTGTTTATAATTGAAATTTAGCACTACAAAGTGCTGTTTTAAATTTATAGTAAAACAGCACTTTGAACCGACAGTTAATCGATGATATCAATTGACTGTCGGGATTGTATAGTTTTGCCTTGATTTTGAAGAAGGTGGCCCTGAAATGGGCTGATCATTCGCTGCATCTTGTCACTACCAACGACTTGCTACCACCTACGATTCGTCAGTTATGTGAAGAAAAGTGCACGCACTACCGCGATCCTGTATTAATACACATTAACGTCTCTTCTCCTCACTAATCGCTATTGTTTTTAGCTACTTCCACCATTAATTATAATCGTCTTATGCTCGCGACAAAATCAGTGCAGTCGCGTAGTCTCGCGTCCACCGTCACCACGACGCGTGACATACATCAATCTGGTGACACCTCCAGCAGCCGTGATCGATCTTACGACGCCTCAACCGTTCTTGGTGAACTTAATTTCACCAGAGCAACAAGAGACGTCTTACCAATAAGAACAGGTATAAATTTTTTTTTTCTTTTCTAATCAGGATAGTTTATTATAAGTTTCTTTGTTGCAGGTCAACGAACACGATGACACCATGCCCGTATGCGAGGGCTGGGATTGCACATACTGCGCCGATGGTCGCTGCATCGGTAACCGCAGTGGGTGGAATCTTCACCACAGCGCGGGATCAGCCGGCATATCGATCGAACTGGACCCGTCAGACACGTCGTGCGCCAGTTATTCCGATCGCGGTCGCCAACTCCCGAAAATACCTCCACAAGACCATCCACAACGGTGCTACTGCACGATTGCGTCATCGCGGAGAAAAAGCGACTGTCCCTCATGGACGATAAAGTCGGCGGCGCCCCGCGCTACAAGATAGGAAAATTTTTCCCCGCGGATAACGACGACCACGACCAGGACGATAACGATGACGATGACGATGACGATGACGATAACGACAATGACAACGACAACTGAGCGTCACTGCATTTATGTTTTATAAATTTATATATTAGTTGTTCTTTTTTAATTTTGTATTTTTTATCTTCATTATAATATATATGTATATATAGTAATAAATGATTAATAATAATATCTCTTTGATTTCAGCGAACACACACTATAACGAGTTTGTCATCGACTCGTTATGTCTCTCTCCACATTAATTATATAACAATAATATATGTACATATTCACGTATCTACTTTTATATTATACTACTAGCAGCCGCAGCGGACGACAGCAGCTGAACTAAGGTAAGAGAGAGAACGCTAGCAGAGAGAGAGACCGCGTAGGTTGGTAGGACTGGCGAGCCGGGTGCCGCGAAAGACATGTGCTGCTTGACAAAGGGCAGGCAATTAGCTGACGCCTCTCGAACTGGTGACACGCGTGCGACGGCGTGAGGGATTCGTAGCTCGGCTGTGCCATTGACGACGACATTCGTTTTGTGATTTGCGTCGCCTCGTGGCTAGATTGAGTGCTAGATTGAGTGCTACCGGTTGCGGCGTGCATTGGCGTTCGGTAGGCCGAACTTTTACTGTCGAGCCTCGTGGCTAATCTCACTAACAACGGCAGACGATGTAAGTACTACTCGTTCTTTGCGTCTCTCTCGCATTACCCGCTTTGCTTCTCTCTCTGCACTGACCTGTACAAACACACGTAGAATATACATATTTTTCTATCACACTTATCGCCTTTCTCACTCTGCGCCTTCTATCATTTCTTTCGTTTCCTACACCCTCGCGATTTCAGCTACGCGACCTACGACGCTCTCCGCGGGCCGTTGCCACCCGGCAAGTCCATCGGCAGTCTGTGCTTCCGGGTCGGTCGTGCAAGGCCATTGCAAGAGCCCGCTTCGTCATCTATTACGCATCTCTCGGTTATTAAATATTGTAGCGGACTAAATCCCCGTTACAACAGACATACACACACTCACACACACATACACGATAACCGGAAAACATGCGAACGCACGGGCATCGGCTCAGAGAGCATATCAGCTCAGTAAAGGTGGGAAGGGAAGGGAAAGGAGGGAGGTGAGCCGACAGTGCAGAATATAGAACCCACGATTAGTTTAGTAGGGGGGAGGTGAGTCGACAGTGCCGAACAGCATCAACTCAGTAGGGGGGGGGGGGTGAGTTGACAGTGCCGAAGCACGTAAGAGGAGGGGAGGTGAGTTGACAGTGCTGAGCTGAAGATGCACGGGCACTAGCTCAGGGAAGTCAGCTCGGTGAGCTAATACCCTCCTGAGCTGATGCCTTCCTTGTTTACCTACTCTGTATATTCCGAGACGTTGGGAGCCCTAGATGTACATGGGCTTGCTCAATGAGTTCGAGGACGGTGATAGTGACTTGCGATGCGCTTTTGTGCGCAGCCTTCTTATTACACTACGCTACGCAAAGAGAGCTTCGACGGCTTATCGTCCTATAAATCCTCTCGATGGGCAGTGACCCAGGGCGTCACTGCCCATGCATTAGTCGCTGTAACTGTTTTCCTTTCTCTTCCTTTGGTATCTTAAAGCAAATTTATATGTACACACGATCGACACATTAACGCGATTAATCACTAACCACGGCTATGGATGCGGTACGCTTTGCACACTCTTTTTTATTCGCCAAGCGCAGACCGTGCTTATTGTTATCGAAAAAGCAGGTATCGGTAGCAATTTGAGGCGTACACGTGCCCTTTAGCTTCCAAACCAAGCGACCAAGCGATAAGATCTCGGTCGTAGGTTGACCACTGCGGGTCATACGATGCTTCAGTTTTCGTGCTTTTCCAGATCGCTATCAAATAGGCAGGCGAACGTAAGAAATGCGAAGCCCGCATATGCGCCTTAAAGTGCCTGAAGGTGCCGACCCTAAACATGTAGGCGAGTGCTAAGATCTCGTTCGCAAATCAACGTCCGCGGATCAAATGACGCTTGAGTTCTTTTTAATGTGTTTTACACGTGTCGTGGATCGAAGATAAAGACCATGCGTGCCAACCCTCGAGGTTCCCATGAACTCTTCATCTGCCCTGCATCTATTGACCGAGCGTTCGGAACAAATGCAATAATGTATATATCAAGCTACAAAAAGTTAGTATAGAATTAACGTGGGATAATATTATAACAATGTGGTAGCAAATGTTTAGGATCTTCATACTTAAACGCTAAACCTATTAACTCTTTGTCCTTAGATTAGTGACCCATTTAAAGAACTCCAAATAATACAGCAATAAAAATGCATTTTTTTTAAATTTCGAAACTAAAATCATTTAAATAGAGATATAATGTTTAAATAATATATTTCTAAAATGATATAATTATACTGTTATGTTTTTCATAGGGTTCATGAAAAGAGTAATTTTATATGTGTTCAACATTAATTAATAATTACCAGTAATAGTAGTTCATCTTCACCAATAGATTTTAATAAACCTTTAACGTCCATTTGTCCTAATCGCAGAATATAAAGTGGTCTTCCATCTGAAAATTATCTGAATTATAATTTTTATAGTAATTAATACCTATAATATCATTATAAAATGGTGAATAATGACCTCTATCAAAATGATGCCAACCACCTGGAAAATAATCCTTAACTACCTGAGGAGCTTCATAATCTTCAAGAAGCTTATCAATTTGATGTTTTTTTCTCCAGTGCAGTGATTGTGTCAACATTTCACGAGATTTATCTACAGAAAATTCCCTAGCGCGTAAAAAACGCAATAAAGTAGCATCACCCGGTATAGAGTCACCCCTTAATTCTCTAATACTTTGTCTTAATTGGATTAATTTGCTTTCTTGAATAAGGTCAAGTTTTCCAAGATATTTCTCAATATAGTCAGATGATAGCTGCATTTCTGAAACAAAATTATCATAATACACTTAAAGAATCATTTTATTCATTTATAAATCAGACTGAATCATAAATTTAAAGAAATTTCTAAATGAATATAAAGATTCTAAAAATAATATGATTCTTGAAGATTTAAAAATAAATCTTTTTAAATTCCAAAATGTTGGAAAAGAGTTTTTGTTTAGCTTATTAGTTTTAAACCTTCGCATAAGTGTCATCAAACCGAGTAATGAAGAAAAATTAGTCACTATATATACATTTGTTAAGACTGACAAACTAGTGTATGAACCTGATAAGGTAACAACTAATATTCAAGAAAATTATCCATTGTATTATTATTAAAAATTATTGGAAATGATCAATGTGAAACTATTGAGAAGAATGTAATAAAAATTTATTACGAGAAATTAAGAAAAATAGCAAGGAAAGTAAAATGGATAGATACAATTACTGAAGATTCAAAATGAACTATTATTTTGATCATTGATAAAATCCAAAATTATATTAAATTAGCGAAAAACAAAAAGATAAACACTAAACTACAGGACAGCATGCGAAGGGATAAGTCAACGGTCTAGGTTATTGCAAAACTTCAATTACCTCTCTACTCTCTATTTTTCAGTCACCGTTTGATCTTTGTAGAGAACAAACGTGTTATCACTGCGCTCTACTCCAAAAGTATAGGCCAATCAAGTGACGTGATAATTCAAATTTACAGTTTAACAACACAATAAAAACTCAGTAATAGCCAAATTGGCCTCTTATTCAGGGGACACAACGTCTAGTCCTACGCAAAAACACCTTCGAAGAGTAGAAATCCGTTAGAAACAAAAGACAACAAAGTAGTCCAGAAAATCAATTACGGAAGAAGAAACGTTAAAAATAAATTTTCTCCAATTTTTGTGTACAACGAAGAAAATATCCGTCCAATAGAAAATCTGCTAAACACAATAGCTAAATACAAATATACATTCAAAGTGATAGGGCAAAATAAAATAAAAATACAACTGACAACGTCAGAAAAATACCTACCGGTAGTCAACGCTTTAAAAGAAAATAATACACAATTTTACATATATTAGCGTAAAGAAGATAAGGGATTTAAAGTAATATCGAGAAGTATACACCCTTTATTTGAAGATGAAGAATTAAAATCTGCCATAGAGGACCACCGATATAAAGTATTAGATATTCGAAATAATCGGTATCGTGTGACCAAGATACCATTACCGCTGTTCACTGTAGAAATAGAACATAATTACAAAAGCCAAGAAATATATAAAATCAACAGGTTATGAAATACTGTAATTAAATTTGAACCACTTCACGTTAAAACAAGATTTTCCGCAATGTTATAGCTGTCAAGAGCTAGGGCATACAAAAAACTATTGTAACAAAAGTGCAGTTTATGTCGAATGTGCTAAACAACACACAACTAAAGATCATCCGATTAGAGAGAAATTAAAGAAGTATTTTTTTGTTCAAGTAAGGACGTTTTTTTCTGATTTTTTCTTTTAGCTGACCTAATAATGACGCATAATATTGTCCAGTAATCGTCTGGCCCTTTTCCAAGTAGTCTATACAGATGATTCCATACGCATCCCAGAAAACCGTGACCATAATCTTGCCAGCTGACTTTACTGTCTTTGCCTTCTTTGGGGCTGGTTCTCCTGCGGTAATCCATTGTTTGGACTGTTCTTTGGTTTCAGGAGTGTAGTGATGTACCCATGTTTCGTCTACAGTTATGAGTAGACGCCAAAAGTCTTTCGGATTACGACGTATGCGTAACAACAGGGTCTCAGAGGTTACCACGCGCGTTCGTTTGTTTTCAACAATGAGCAAACGCGGCACCCATCTTGCTGATATTTTTTTCATCCCCAATTTTTCATGTAACATTGAAATGATTATACCTTTTGATACCCCTGTGGCTTCAACTAATTCCCGCAATTTTAATCTTCTATCACTCAACACCATATCGTAGATTTTGTTGACCATTTCGGGCATACTCACTTCTACGGGGCGTCCTGAACGAGGTTCATCTTTTGTTGTTGTACGGCCGCGTTTAAATTCATTTACCCAGTTATAAACAGTCTTAAGCACAGGGGCAGACTTGCCATGAACGGCGTTCAACTCAACTGTGATTTCTTTTGGTGTAAGGCCTTTCAAATGAAATTGTTTTATCACCGCTCGAAACTCTGTTTTTTCCATTTTTCAAATAAACCAATAACTTTTTGTTCAACCAACGCTCACAAAAAAATGACTTAATGAATCGAGCTGAAACTTTGTACGATATCTAATTAGTAGTATTGCTTGCCAAAAATATCATAATTTAAGCGTGACGAGCGCCATCTCTTGGATTTTGTAAAGACTTATTGACCCCCCTCGTATACAGCCTTTATACGGGCTGAAAGTCTTTCGCACGCGTACAGATTTAATATACAATCTGGGGAGAGAGAGAGAAAGAGAGAGAGAGAGAATATAAACTTTTACGCGAACTACTTAAAGAGAAAGTCGCAGTTATGATAGGTGTACCTACCGTGATTTGCGGTTACGGTGATCAGCCGTAACCGTATATTTATCTACGGCTAACCAGGTGCTTTCCTCCTATGCGGGTGTTGGCTTTGCACTGCTCAGGTTGGTGTTGGCGAATACATAATAACTGTACTAGGTACTAGGCCAGTCACCGTTGCTACACTGTCCTCGACTTGCTCATAATATCCTCGCGATTTATTGTCAAAACTCTTACACTTTCAAGGCACTTGTCTTTTTTACCGGCTATATCAATACTACTCTATTTTCTGCATACGCCTCCTCTCTCCAAATCGTTCGCACTCGTACCTCGAGTGCTGCCGAATCGCGAGCGAATCGATATTTACAATCGATTACCGTTGCAACGAATATCTTTATAATGTTTTTATTGCAAAAGGATATACTTTAGAAGAAATTGTCAAGTATAAAAAGTTCTTATAATTACTCAAGGAATGCGTCAGAATTTTTTTCAAGCGTTTCAAACAACTTTTTGTCTTTCACTAATAATTTTTTGAAAAATTTTAAATTTTTTATTTACACTTTGGAAAAATTATTATGTATTTTATGATCAATTCTACAATCTTTTCTCTTTATAATTTTATCGGATAACTTATTATTTTCAAGAAAAAAATTATGAAAAATCAAAAATTGATTGTATATATATGATAACTACATGTAAATCTATCATCCTTCTGTCGCGAAAAAAACTGCATTATCCAACTATCACTAACGTGGAGATCGATGAATGTCGAAGCCGAAAAAACCTAGAACCGTGACTAGGTGTATCCGAAGGCTTTTGATTTGCTGAATCCGAATCCGACATCAGAATGGAGCAATCACGTCAAGTTCTCGAGATATCCTACCTTAAAAGTGCAAAAAACACTGTTTTTGGCCAACTTTGAGATTATGTAACATACTCAATAAATTTTTTTTTAATCGGCCGACGGCACCTTGAAGGAAAAAATTTTAACCTTTCAAAATCTTTTTACAGATCTGAAAAATCTTTGTTTTTTTCGTTGAGATATTGTCGATTGAAATTTCATATTTTAGCCATTTAGCCAGTGGGTTGGAATGATTGGACGTCTTTCTCAGCCCTTATTCGGAAATATTTTCATTAACAAAACTCAGTGAACGTTATATTGAATTGCTATTTATCATTAGTATTGCAAATTTCATTTATATAAACAATAACTTACAACAAGATTTTTCAAAATTGAATTTTATGATCATTAAAAAAAAATCGAATTCTACGAAATAAAACCATCTACAAACTATTAACCAAACACATTTATTCTGAAAAAATTTTAAATGCTTAACTTTGCTAACTCTACACCTCTTAAAAACATCTTAGAATTGCAAGACCTTACATTTTATTTTCCTAAACCCACAAATCCAGTATCCTGCGACGCAATAACCCCAAGAACTCATATCATAATTTCCGAAAGCCACAAAGCCTATAACCTGGAACGTAATGCCCTCAAAACCGTAAATTCCAATTTCCTAAACCTACATAGCCTGTACCTTGCGACGCAGCAATCCCGAGACGTTAAACCCGTAGTCTTTTAACCAACGAGCCCTATAACCCTGCGACTCAAGACTCTCAGACACTACAGCCCACGTTTTCCAACCCGCAATCTCTTACTCTGCAATGCAATGGATTCGAGACGTTACACCACTTCCTCAACCCACAACCACTTTACCTAGTGTTCCAATACCCTGAGACACTATACTCTATGTTTTTTAACCCCTCAAATACTATACATTTTGTGATGGAATACACTCAGACATCCCACAGAAGTTCCGTCACACAAGAGCCTCAAACCTTTCGACACCATTACCTCGACACGTGACCCCCGATGTCCCTTAACACGTGAGCACTAAACTTTGCAACGCAGTAACCTTAAGCCGATACACGCTCAATTTTGTAATCCGCGAGCCTCGAAACCTGTGACGCAATAATCTTAAAACGTTAATCTTAAATCCTCAATTTATTCACCCACTATCCCTATACCCTGCGGCGAGTTTTCCCTAGACGCTATATCCCGAATTATTCAACCAGCGAACTATACACTCCGTGATCCCAAAGCGTTTCACCATCAGTTTCTTACCCCACGAGCCCTGTATGCTATAAGAACTACGAAACGTAGCTCCTAAAGTTTCCTTACCCATGATCCTTAACACTGCGACCCAAGAACCACGAAATGCTACAGCCTAAGTTTTTCAACTCATGAACTCTATACCCTTCAATGCCATGATCTTGAGAGGCTAAATTTTAAGTTCCTTAACCTACGAACTCTATACTCTGCGATGCAATGACCCCAAGACGTTACATCCTAAGTTTCCCAACCCACGAATCCTTTTTCCCCGACGCAATGAATCCGAGACGCTACCTCTCAAATTATTTAACCCACGAGCCTAGAAGCCTGCTTAACGATTACCCCAGACCATCTTATTCCAAAACCCTTACGCCACCAC